ATTTCCCAAGCTTTTTTACAATGGTAATTAACCACCTTATCTTTAAGGACCTGAGGTAATTGGCGGTTGGGTGTAATTTAATGAAGTTAAATCCATCAGTATTTTTACACTGACTCTCTTTGGATATCACTTTGATTTTTCTGCCCTACGCAAAACTCCTCAGAGCAACAAGGAAGGAAAGGTCACTTTTCAGCCTGAAAGTGGGGCTTGCCCTAGGGGGTCGATGGCTCTCTCTAGGTTTCCTTAAAAGCTCTGGAGCACATTGCAGAGTGGCTCCAAAGTGAGCTCACAAAAGGTCAATTCCTCACTTTTGTTTCTCCTAAAGATTCTAAATTCAACATTTTCCCATCAGATCAAGGACGGTATCTTTTGTAGAATGTTCTTTGCTTTAAATTTGCCAGTGAACATGTGATATAAAACAAAAAAAAATTATCAAAAACCGGTCAGCCAGTATTTGTACCAGACTCTCCAGCTTTGCCAAAAGACTCCAATTCAGGCCAGCTAGGCATGGTGGCAGAGGCCTGTAATCCCAGCACTCTGGGAGGCTGAGCCAGGAGGATCACAAGTTCAAGTCCAGCCTGGGCAGTTTAGGAACTTAGTGAGATCTTGTCCCCAAATAAATTTTTAAAAAAGGGATAGGGTCACAGCTCAGTTCAAAGGCCCTGGGTTGAATCTCCCTCACTATGGGGTAGGGCTTCTAATCTAAACCAGACTGGTCATTTCAAACAGTTTCAAACTAACAGAAAATGGCATAGAGTGTAGATGTGATTATGTGATCTCAAAAACTGAGCACAAACATTTCAGCATATAGAAGGCCTTTCAAAAATACTTTATGCATTTTTGAGTTGTTTCAATTGTCCAAAAACCCTACATATGAGAGAAAGCAGGAGAAAAGGGAAGAGAAAAAAAGAGAGAAAAAAGAAAAGAAAAGAGCAAAGCAAGACAGAGAGCCAGGCGGGGGGTGGGGGTGTGTGTGTGTCCCCGCTTGCTCCCTGCTGTCCCTCATACTGAACCATTTGCCAATTACATTAAGTGTAAGGGAGAAATGGTGGGAAGTGAGTGTGGTGAGCTGCTTGCTGAAGAAAAATGAATCACTGCACACTTGAATGAGAAAATATGAAGAGAGCCTGTTTTGCACTAATTAGGACCTATTCTAAGCAATTCGTGAAGCCACTGCCCCAAGCCACCAGCTATGGGAGGTGGAGCAGGGGCCAACCTGCAAGCAGAAGGTGCAGACGGAGCTAATGATGCACCCTGTCTCCTCAAGACAGCAGGAGGCACTGGGGGTGAAGGCTCCACCACAGGACACCACGCAGGACAGGACAGGCCCCGGGCGCTCCACGAACAAAACACCGCGCAAAGCCATGTGGCACTCACCAAGCAACACGGGCTCTGAGGCCCAGCCAGGCCGCCTCCAACACCCGTCCAGGCACCGGCCCCTCAGCCACAAGGAGCCCCACTGTGGCCAGCACACCTGGGGAGGCCCTGGTGGCAGTGGTGGGGCGTGGGCTCTCCCTTCCCCTGCTTGAGGGTCCGCTGCTGTCTTCACCCTCTCCCTGGCACAGAGAAAGGTGGGCCCTGTCACCGGTGTCGCCTCATGTATGCAAAGAAGGAGGGAAGCTGGTTTTCTCTCAGGAAAAGGCACACAGGAAGGGAGTCTGCTTCCGGCCGACCAAGACTAGCTCAGAAATTATCTGGGCATCTGATTTGTCAGGCTGGCCATGCTCTTTAGAACAGGAATGGTGAGTTCCCCAAAAGGCAGAAGATGGCCATGCAGAGAAGAAGTGGGCTCAGGCGTGGAGACGACATCCACAGTCTGGAACCCACACCTGGGATTTGGGGTTTTCAGCACTTTTACAGTTTATCTCCAGGTGGTTGGCTAAAGCCACCCCCTGGCCTCCATGTATTTATCACAGTCAAACAGGAGAAACAGAAAGGCATCAGCTGACACACATTGCCCTTGATGTACAGATTAGGCCTGGTCTCCCTCCCTTTGCTTCCTTAAGAGTAACCACCAGGATCCCCTGAAAGGCTCAAGCACCCACTTCTCCATGGGGAGACTTTCTGCAAACCTGCTACATCTCACGTGTAATATGCACTGTTTCATCAGGTCTTAAAAATGTCTGTTACAACACCCTTAACCCCCCAGGAGCTGCATCGGACCAGAGCAAAGCCAGGGTGCTGGCAGTCTAGGCTTGAGGACATGAACTGCAGGAGCTGGAGAGGAGATCGGAGGCACGAAGCCATTTAGAGAAATCCCGTGCCCTGCAGTGCAGGAGGGGCATATTTAATCAAAACCATGGGCACGGCAGCCTTGTTGCTGTTACTCTAGTTTGGGTCAGGACGCCCCTGAACACCCCCTTTCTCCCTGGCTCCCCTGTGAATTTCAAGAACATGTGTGCAGGGTGGGGGGAAAGGAGGGGTTAACGTGGATCCTCTGCAACTTGGTGTTTCTGCGACCTACATGAAAAATGTACACGTGCCCTTTTTTGAGCAAATCGAAGGTTCTCTTTCAAGATGTGAACTGGGTTCCTGTGTCTTCTCTCATGTGCCCCTCAGGATGGGTCACTTGTTGATTTTACAGCTCACAGTGTCCACATGAAAAGGAGTGTACAATGCACACAGGAAGTGAGATAGCCCTAAAGTCTGTGCGGTGGCAGTGTGGAGATCCCAGGCAGGGAGGCTGCTCACAGCCAGGCAGCTGGAAGCAGACACCATGGCATCCCCAAAACACCTGCCAGCCTTAGAAATAAGCTGGCAGAAGCCATGGGTTTCCAGTGAATCCCAAAGGCTCCTGGTTTGCTTTCTGCAAGCTGGATTCACTTCCACAGGTCTCCCTTAGAGCAGGACAGGAACCAATATGCATTTCATAGTGAAATTGTCTCATAATCCCAAACATCAGAGAAGGAAACAATAACACCCAAAGGTGCTAGCCTTGATACACTCTTGCAGAGCTGGAGCTAGGTTACATGAAGATGAAAAATTAGGCAAACACAGCACTGACATCATTTATGCCTAAACTCACCCTATAAATAAAGAAATCCATTTTGTTGTAGTAAAAGGTTAAAAATAAAAGAAGGAGCTTTATTAGTCAGGTTCGGTTTGCTGGATGTTAAAACTCTTCCACGCTGCCTTCCTGTCTGTCTTGTTTCATGCTGGGTGCATGTGGTGTGTGTACACATGCCATTTATTTATTTCCTGTCCATATCAATGCAGATAAATCTTAAAATACAAGATCCTCTCAAGTTCCAAAAGGCTTGACACTTATATTAACAATAGGCTACTCCCTTAGCCAAATGGGAGCCACACACATCCAAATCGAGGGGGCAATAAATTCCTCAACCATAGAATCACCATTCCCAAACTGCATCTCTGTTCAAGTGAGGAAAATGTGGCCTCGGTCCTGCAGGACTTCAGATGTGTTTGCCAAAAAATTCACTGTGATCTTAATATTTCAGCAAAGGAGATGGCTCTGAGGACAGCCAGTGCATCTTCTCTTTAGGAGAGCATGCACAAACTTCTCAGAAGAGTCAAGCACAGCACACCCAGCTTCATAGGCAGCCCGTGTCCTCCCAGGAGGCCGTGGTGCTGGGCTAAGACTGCCATGCTCCCGAACTCCGGAGAGAAGCAGTTTCCCCGTATGGCATTCTAATTACAACACTGACAGGGTAAACAAGCACCCAGGGGCTGTGAGCTCCAGCCTCAACGAACAGCACCAGACAAACGCAAAGAGCACAGGACCCTGTAACTCCGTGAAATAGTTTGGCCAGCAGCCCCGGTGAGCAGTGGGTCTAGGAGGCACCGGCTGCTCGTAGCTAACAAAGGCACGAGCGTGAGTATTCACCCGAAAATCTGAAATTGGCCACATTCTATCAAACCGGATGGCACAGGTGTTAAAACAGGACGTCTGAACTTACATGTAGGGGTACAAGTTATTTCTGTAAACAAGACACCAGTGTAACCCGGGGAATTGTCCTGCCAGGAACATTTGCCCCCGTTTGAATTTTAAGCCACACACCAAACAATCCGATTTGTCACTGAAACAATTCTGACGCACAGCAATATAAATAATACTCAGATTGTTAGTTTTAAAATTCCCACATAAGAGATAAATCCAATCACCCTCATCCACCAAACAGCTTCCAACAAAGAAAATCGAGAGAACTTGGAGATCTCTCTCCTCCTCTTTCCACTCGGAACCAAAACGCACCAATCCTTAAAAGCATTTGAATTTCTATGAAAGTCAAAATCTTAAGCATATTAAGTATTTTCAGTTCCATAAAATTTCCTCTTTTGATAGAAGTTGATATGAGAAGCAAGGTCCTATTTGTTCAGCACCATTTTGTCTCCGGAAATGTAAAACAAGGTACCTGGAAACTGAGGCGCGCTGCAGCCAGGAGGGAGAGTATTCGTGGGTGGGTCGGGCAAAGCCCCACAGAAGGATTCACTCCTCTACTGGGCGGCTGGCGCTCAGAGAAGGCCCCGCGTTTGCAAGCCGCCCCGCGCCCGGCCTTCTGGGGAGGGGTCACCAGATGGGGCTTGGCGCCTCCAAGTTGGAAGGCAGAGGACCAGGCTCCGAGCGTCCCGGGATCGCGGGGACACCTGGCACCCCTTAAAACTGCAGGCCGAGCGGGCTGCAGGGGAGCCGACCCCTTCTTATTACCGAGGGTTTTCCCGGCGCGGTCAGGACCCGAGCGCGCGACAGGCGATGAGGCAAACAGTGGCTAAGTTTTCGGAGCCGGGATAATCCGCATTTTGCAGGGAGCGAGCTCGGGCGAGGTCTCGGAGGCGAAGCGCTCGCAAAGGACTGCCAGCCGGCCCCGGGGCCTCCCGTCCCTTCCCGAGTCCGCGTCCGAGCCTCGACCCGACCGAGCCCGCACCTCTGGCGGGGCCGCGCTGCTCCGCTCCGCTCCGCCCGCCCCGTCTTCCGCTCTGGGAAATTTCAAAATCCAGCGGCAGCCCCAAGTTTTCCTCCTGAAATTCAGCTTTCAAACACTCACGTGGACGGGCGCGCCGAGCTCCGGGGGTCGGGCCGGGCCGGGG